ATTTTTATTTAAGTTGAGTGTGTATAAACACGTGTCCGACCCTGGTTCGACTGGGTTTCCATTTTTTTTGTCTCCAACGGTCAAAAAAGCTTCTTTCCTCCACACTTTTACTCTCTGCAACCTCTAGTGGCGAAGACTGCTGGCTGTCTCTCCGATCCACTCTTCCAAGCCTCGATCCCCGCTCTCTCGGCGGTTCTCTGATCCGTAGTAAAATTTTTTCATTTCATTGTTCGCGATTGATTTCTGAATTCTGTTTTTCATTGCTTTTCCGTATTTTTTTTGATAAAAATCGTCCGTTAGGGTTTAGGTGTTTAGGAATTTGATATTTCTGCAGAATACATGCAATTTTATTTTATTTTTTTTCTGTTTGATACCAGTTACTAGTGAAAAATATTAGGGTTTTGCGATCCTGACGAGATGGTGTTATTTTCTATTATTTATATGATGAACTAACTTTGAAAAATCGGAAGAATTTTGGGATGGCAACTTATTTTCTTTGGTGCTGAATTGCCTATAACATCTATTTTTTTTATCTGAATCTATTATTTTGGGGTGATGATATCTGTTACTCAAGAGCTGATCCTAGCTTGTTTAAATGATTCCAAACTCTTTGTTGTCTTCTTCAATTTTTCATTTGATTTTGAGTTTCTTTATTCACCATGCAATGCAGAAACAGTTAGTTGTAGAGAAGCCTTTCATCCTTCTGCAATAGGTTTTAGTGCAAAAATTATGTAATGCGCAAAAAATATATATGGTAAAAATGTTAAATCAGCCTCCAAACTTATCAACTTTATGCAAATCTGCCCTTCAACTTATTTCCCCCCCAAAAAAAAAGGAAGAAAAAAAAAGAAAACCCGAATGCTTGTCAAACTTGAAGCAAACCATGCAAATAAGATTTGGGATCAACATTAAGGATCCAAACCCTGCAATATCAAATAATTAATTTTCTAATATACTCAAAATATTATGTTAATTTTGTCATTATTGTATGAGAATAATTTTTTTCAATCCATATTACATAAAAAAAATGCAGTTGGGGTTATGAAAGTGCTAAAATACCTTTAATGAATAACAGTCATTAAAAGACATTTAAATACTTAATTTCACTGTTAGGACTAAATGCAATCTGGACTGGAAAAAGCATTTATATTGGAGATTTTAATTTCCTAACATTAACTGCTGATAACCTTCTGCAATAGCCTTCCAGCTTTCATTACCCAGCCTGTGTAGATTACGCTCATTTATCCAGTTCCTTCATGACATTTGATGGTAACCTCTTCCAAATTCCAATGATCAAGTTCCTTTATTGTTAAATACAAAGCTATACATCGATATGTTGCTAGCATTTGATAAAGAAATACCAGCAACTAGATTTTGCACTCATTTTCAAGACCCACGTATTAATTATTTTCAATTTAAATAACTTAATTTGTTGTATGCAATGACAAAAAAAAAAAAAAACGTGTTTTATGTATCGATAATATTAGGAGTGTTGATGAAAAATATAAAAAAAGAGTATCACTGTCACTTCTCTTTTTACTAACAAATAAATCATTATCTCACTGTTAAACAAAAGAAGAAAATTAAAATAAAATAAAATACTGGCAAATTATGTAGATAATCAATCTGAAAAACCACACATTTAACTATTATGGCAAATTATCCAAAGCCTTAATGTTCAACAATTTCCAAGAAATAAAACCAGTCACAAATCATCTCAAACATAAGCAAGTAAATAAAATCAAGAAAAAAGAACGTGGTAGTTTTAGACAATAAGAAACCACGCAATGTCTGTTGCAACAAGGAACGTGTACCAAAAAGGAAAAGAAGTACAGGAGCTGACATCTTTTCTCTTCACCATCATCATCGCCAACAACTTTCTCATTTACGCCCAGCTATAGTAAAGACTGCAACACAAAGCTTATGATTAATATATATAAGGAAGGAAATTAAATATTAATGTTTGACATAGAATGTGTTAATGAAAGAGTTGCCTACCATTCATTTCTTGATTCATTGAAGCCGTCATCCATATAGTAGTCCGTTTGAAATCTGTACCTTGGTACAGAGGACATGTTTAAGGATTCAAGTATGACATGTTCAGCTTCCGCTATGTCCCCATCCACCAATATCTTCACCTCCTGCAAATTTTGAAGCTTCACCTTTTTAGCCTCCCCTACATTGATTGTATTTCCCACTATTTTCATAGAAAGCACGAGAAGTTTATTCAACTTTGCTAGATCTCCAATGCTAAACTCTTCAGGATCGTCACGATCAATTCTCACAATGAGACCCAATAATTGTGTAAGTCGAGTTAATCTCACAACTTCCTTTGGATAGCAAGCTAATTGGAGGCAGCCTGTGGTACGAAGAAGCTTCAAGTTGACTAAATTTCCTATCTCATCGGGCAATCTGTCGAGATTAGAACAGCCAGACAAATTTAATTGTTCCAAATTGTGTAATCTGAAGAGTGCTTTTGGCAACCTTTTAAGGTTTCTGCCCCGACTCAAGTTAAGGAATCTCAAATGCAATAAGTTTCTTATTTCTTCTGGAATAGCTGAACCATGATATCCGCGCGCCAGATCCACTACCCTTAAGCGTCTAGCTTGATTAAACAAATTACGCATGGCTCTTTCACTGATGGGAGCATGATCATCACTACCATAACTCACAACACTTCGCAATTTTTCTGCATCAGGAATGAATTCAGGAAAATGGAAACCCTTTTTCGTCCTCACTGTCAAATGTCGAGGAGTTCTTTCTCGGTTCATTGTTAAACTTCTATTACCATTGGGGACCTTCAAGCTAATACACTCTCCCCTTGTCAAAAAGAGAGCAAAGTCATGTATCAAATCATGTACCTCACAACAAAGCTGTTGATTTCGAGTCTTAACACCTTGGAAGAAACTGCGATCCATCAAGCACTGGAAGTACTCAGCGCCTTTTTGTTCCAATAGCGAATTATCATCATCAAGGCCTAAGTAACCTTGTGCCATCCAGACTGAAATCATATGACAAACACTCAGATGCCAGCGTTTACCATAGAAAGCAAAATATGTAAAACACTGTCTTACTGGTGAGGGCAGATCATAATAACTCAACAACAAAGGAACAAAAACTTCTTTATGTACCATTTCCATTCTCCACAACTCACTATTCAAAACATTCTCCCACCCTTGTATGCTAGTTTTAAACCGCAAAAGGCCTCCCAAAGTCTTTGCAACAAGCGGCAAACCACTGCACTTTTTTGCAATTTCCAATCCAACAGGCTTGAACTCCTCACAAGTCCTTTGGTCCTTTTCTCTTAGTGCTATATCCCTAATGATAGACCAACATATCACTGGGCTCAAGTTATTTAACTGAAAGGTGTGTGAACTTCTCATAATTCTTGCAACAGTGCTCTTACGTGTAGTCACCAGTATCCTACTACCCGGAGCACCACATTTGAAAGTAGCATTCAGTCCTTCAAAATCTTTATCATTTTCTGTCCATACATCATCAAGAACAAGAAGGTACTTCCTTCCCTCTATGGATCTGTGAACATTATCTAAAAGAGCATCTAATGAAAATGACTCCAACGACTGGAGGTTTGCTTGTTTTTCTCGGCCTTGAAGCCCTACAATGATATCTTTTGCGATTTTTCTCTCATCAAAATTTTCAGAAACATATGTCCAGACTCTACAAGTGAAATGTTGTTTAACATTTTCATCATTGTAGACCAGTTGGGCGATAGCAGTCTTACCAAGACCTCCTATCCCCACTATAGAGATGGTTTGGATTGGGCTACCCTCTTCTTCTTCCCTAGGCTCACACAACAAATAGCTGATTATTTCATTCTTGACATCATCTCGACCAAGCAAGCTTGACTCATCAATAAAAGATTTGCTTTCTCCTTGTCTTGGCAGTCTACTGATCATTGCAGTGCTTGTTAACTGGTACCTATCTTTATCCTCAGCAATCTTATCTAACCTTCCATTGATTTCCTTTATGTTGTGAGCAATGCCACGGTATCTAACAGGATGAAAAGAAAAGCATCTGAGGAAAACACGTACCTTCCTCTGAAAAAAAGAAGCACTTTCCTCAGCTCCATCTGTTCGCCGATACAGGAGTACAGTCCTCCACTCATCCAAAGCATCCTCCATGTTAAGAGATTCTTCTCTGAGCCGATCTAGCCATAACTTGACAGGTTCCTCTGATATTTGCTTCTCCTCAGCATCTTTAAGTAAAGCTCTGATGGATGTGAGGTTGTCTCTGAGGTTTCTTAGATCTTCCTTAACACCCCTC